TTAAAAAGTAATACAGGGGAGCAGGCACAAAGGCATAGCAAGCTAATGTTCTGCATGTGGTGCTGGCATCCCATAAGGATGATAGTTTGTGTCCTGGAGGTTGCACTTGCAATCCAGCTCCGTGCCTGTGGCCTGAGAAAGCAGTAGAGGAGGGCCTGAAGCCTTGGGATCCTGCACCTATATGGGAGACCCTGAGGATGTTCCTGGCTCTTGGCTTTGGATCGGATCAGCTCAGTTCTGGCTGCTGCAGTCATTAGGGAGCGAATGGAACCAGCAGAAGGAAGTCCTCTCTCTTCTCTCTGTAAAATCTGTGTTTCAAATAAAAATAAATAAATCTTTTAAAGGCACTATACACTAGAAGTAAAGATAAAGCTCAGACATAGTCGAAAAAATTGTTTTAACTTTCAGAAGTATATGCATACTGTCAAATGCAAATCTTGCTATTGCTATGAATGCTCCCACACACATTCTGTAAATGAGCATGAAAGTACATCAAAAGGCATGCCTGTGGTCTCATTTTCTTCCATTCACAGGAGCTATGCCAGCATAAAACCTATTATATGCAGAATAAAAAACTATTCTCTATTATTGGTAAGTCACATCTACAGAGAGGAGAGACAGAAAGATCCTGCATCTTCTGGTTCGCTCTCCAAGTAGCCTCAACAGCCGAAACTGAGCTAATTTGAAACCAAGAGCCAGGAGCTTCCTCTGGGTCTCCCATGTGGGTGCACGGTCCCAAAGCTTTGGACCATTCTCTATTACTTTCCCAGACTACAAACAGGGAGCTGGATGGGATGTGGAGCAGCTGGTATACAAACTGGCATCCATATAGGTAGGATCCCAGAGCATGCAAGGAGAGGAATTTAGCTACTAGGCCATTGCTCCAGGTTTAAGAAAAGTTCTTTTTTTTTTTTTTGTTTTTCTTTTTTTAACATTTATTTATTTTATTTTTAATTTATTAAAGAAAAGTTCTTAATGAAAAGTTTCTAGGTGGATAAAGAGCATTCATAGTAAGAAGATGGTATCTGTGGCAGCAGGTAGCATTAAATAGTGAGCATTCATGTTAGTCACTATAGTAAAAGACAATCTCATTTACATCTTGTGACTCTTGTGAGTTAGGAACTGCGGGTGGGTCTGTTTTCAAGGGAGGAAAGCAAGGTTGAGAGAGTTGAAAACTGTCAGAGCTGAATAAGGCCTGATTTCAGAGTCCCCATTACCATCCTCACTCTTAATAATTCTAGGTGCAGCTTGTGCATTTAGTTCATCATTTGGCTAATGTTGAAGCAATGTGACTGGTGCATGATTTTGTGTTTAATCCTGTGGCTCTCTCTGTGTTTTCTCCAACTCTTCTACCCCTTCAGCGACACAAGGCCCTTCCTCCTGTTCTGATCCATCAGTGAAGTTTGGACTCTCACTCTGGACAGAGCCTGTTTTCTCTGAGCATCCAGCTGGATTGCAGCTGGTGCTACTAAGGACATCGCAAGCAGTCATTGTGCACCTTAATCTGGAGAACTGTGCGAGAACTCCAGCCCTTGGAGCACATCCGGAAATGTAAATGTAATATTTAAATTGTGACTCAAGAAGATGTCACTGCTGAAGGTGTTTCCTGGCAGATGTGGTTCAAAGAAAGCTGACAGCATTTGTCTACAATGGGCCTTGTGTGTACTCCTTCTCCTGCTTTCTGAACACAGGAGCAGTTGCCTCAGGCGTTCTCACTGTTCCACTGAGTCCACACCCAGCTTCCTGAACCCTCGTGCCACACACCAAGGATCAGGCCAGTCTGCCTCTCAGGATGATCTTCCATCAGCATGGGTCTTTTCCTCCTCCGGTTACTGGTGGATAATTGGGTTGATGATGCTTCTGCTTATTATCTTGACCCTCCTTCAGTTCACCAGTTAGCCAGCACTTGATAGCATGTCTTTTGCTCTCATCATGTGGCCAGCCTGCCAGTAGATTTACGATAAGCCTAGCTTTGATATCTGGGAAGTGCCTGCTTTCATCTGATATCCATGAGCTGTGTCTTGTCATTTGTGTTTGACCTCCCAAATGTCTATAATGTATTTCTTTTCCTATTCTCTGGAGTAGCAGTCTCCTGAGTTTCTCAATAATGCATTCACTTCCGTCCACTTTTGGGGGGCATAGTCTTTCAAATTTATTTATTCTTAAAGGGTGTACAGATTTTATTGCCTTTATCCTGTAAGTAGATCAAATGCCCAGTTAGGGTGAAGCTTATTGTTAGTGATAGTGGATGTTACTTCTGCATTTCAAGTTGTTTTCCTGATGATTTTGTTGCTTTTCTTTTTTTTTTTCATTTTTTTCATTATTATTATTACCATTTTTTGATATAGTTCAATAAGCCCTGGGATTTATCCTTCTCCGTCCCCAGGTCCCCTCCCCTCCAACTGAGTTCTCCCATATCATTACAACAATATAGTTCCTTATAAACAGTCATAAGTCCATCATTGTGGGCATGGACAATGGCGGAGAGTCCAGCATCCTATTGTCAAGACACATCCAACAGTTTCACTGGGAGTCCATTCTCAATCCGTAAATAGAGATGCATACTGCACCATATCCTCACGTCTGGACATGTCAGTCTCCACCACACAGTCACTATACATCCCCCCCCCCAAGTGAAAAGCCACAATAAAATCAACAACAGGAAGAAAAACAGAAATTTACAATGCCCTGAAGTTAAACAGCATGCCACTGGATATGATAGTCTCCATTACACAGTTATTATACATTCCCTTAAATGAAAAGCCACAAAATAAAATCAACAACAGGAAAAAAAAAAACTATAACACCATGAAGTTAAATAACATGCTACTGCATTTTGTTGCTTTTCTAATGGAAATTTTGTGGGTAAGATTGGCATTGTTACCTTAAAAAGTGGTAATCAAAGACTTCATACTTGAAGGATAAGTCCTACCATTCGCTTGTCATTTTCCTGTGACTTCTTTGCAGAGGATTCTTATAAAGCCACTTGTCTAAGTGTTTAACTTGATCTAGATAATGCAGCCAGTAAGTCCATGTAACTGCATGCAGTGAACTGCACTGTTTGAACAAGTCGCCTGGCGCCAACTCCCAGGAATGGGAAACTCCCCTTTCCCGGAGGACATCTCTCTTGTTGCACCAGGTCAAGGGGCTGCTCCACAGACTGACACAAGGGCTATCCATGGCGCAGGCATAAGATATTAGTTGAGGCCAACGTCTGCCTTTTAAACGAGGATTAGGCATACACAGATGTCTTCATATTTTCTTCCCTGCATCTCCAATGGGCTGGCTTGCACTCTCTTTGGAATATACATATTCCTGGGGTTGGGGGGCAGGGAGCACCTTTAGAAGTTTTGGGTTCAGAGAACAATTTCCCACATAAGCAAGAATGTTTCCACTCAAAAAGACCTGCTCATTTCAGTTGCTCAGCCATTTTATCGAAAACAAAATGACTTTGAAATGAATTGTCTTGAGATCCATAATTTGCAAGCAAAATCTCCACTCTACAAAATGTGAAATGTTCTCAGCGACAGCTGTGAGCATTCTAAACGTGCACTACTTCTTTAACGGTTCATCCGTTGCCAAGGGAAATGGAGTTGGCTTCAAAAGCTTTCTTGGTTTTTAGTCTACATTCATCCTCAATCAGAGATGGAGAAAGCCGGTCCTGCTTGGCGGGGACACTGAAGCTTCATGAGGACCGTACAGGAAACTGAGATATGGAAATGTACGTTTCTTGAAGGCAGGAACTAGCTTGCTATTTTGTACTTTTATAGGACACAGTGGTAATGAACTTCATCAGGGTAGGATGGGCAGGAGTTATATATAGAGCAGGCAATCTTCTCAAGTCAGCAGGGGGAGCCTACATCCATCCAAGCCATCTTTCCAATGCCCAAAGCATGGATATTTTTATCTTTTTTGGCACAAAATCATTATTTTTTCCTCAAGAGCCATTTCTGTGCAGTGTACACAGAAATCTGCAATACCTGAGCGTTAACACAAACTATGAACACAAATGCTTTTTTTGTTGTTGTTGGTATACATTCTTATTTAAATCTACTCTGCTTCTCTGTATGGAAAACATGATAGGCTTAGGGGCAAAACCAGGTTACAGAAGGACACACACATTATTAGTAAGGGGAAAAAAACATTTTCCAGGAAGCACACCGGAGAGGATGGATTACGGACGATGCCTATTTTTCGTCATCCCTCCCCAATTTTCCAAGTTTTGAACAAACGCTACTGTGACGTTCGTGATTAACATGAACATTTTCTTTCCTCTAAAAATCGCATGTAGCTTGCACGCAAACATCCACGAATATTCTCTGGAGATGCTCCATTTGGCCTAGGTCTCACCAAGGGTGCAAATGCAGCTTGAAACATTTTATCACTTGTTCAGACAGCGTGAAGGAAGTTTCCCTAAACTCTTTGGGGGAGGGGGTCGGGAGTGGGATCCAACTAGCATGCTGTAACGCGGTGCTGGCGAGGGGACAGGGGGACGGACGGAATCTGGGGACCAAGTTGCGGGCTGACGGATGCGGTTAACCGGGCCAATGATCGCAGAACATAGCCAAGGCGTTGCCACTTGCACCAGCCACCCAGGCGCGGAGGCTTGCGGGAGCTTCTCCGAGTCCTGAACCTCGGCACTGCGCGAATCACGCACGCCTCCCAGGTTTAAAGGGTTCCTGTCAGGCCTAAGACCAGGATGCCATCCCCCCCCCCCCCCCCCCCCCCCCCGCCTCGAGCCTTCTGGCGGAAGCGGCGGCGGCGGCGCGGCCAGAGATCGTGGCTGCATCCGGGTCCTCCGAGGCCTCGGCCCAATCCTCGGCCTCCTCTCTTCCTACCCTCCCGTTTCTCCGCCCCCCCCGCCGCCAATCCCCGAGCAGCTCTCAGCCGAACCTGCTGGCAGGGGAGTGAAGGCGGGCCTTGACCAATGAGACCTTGCTTCCCGTTTGAAGCCACCAGTGGGTGGGCGCCGGAGGCGGGCACTGCCGGGCAGAAGGTTCGGTTGAGCGTGCGCCATGGACTGGGCCGCCCGGTGATATTGACAATAGGAGAGAGAAAGGGGGCATTGACGGGGACCCGGCGCGGGTGGCGAACGGCGGCTCCGGCAGCGGCGGCTCCGGCTCCAGCGGCTCCTCCTCCTCCTCCTCCGCCTGTTGCCGCTGCGGATTCAGTCTTCCTCCCTCCCTTCCCCCCTCCCCACGTCGCCGCCGCCGCCGGGTCCGGGGCTCCGTGCAGAGGCGCCGCCCGCCGGGAATGTGAGCGAGGAGCCTCCGGCGGAGCCGCTACGGGGTCGGTGCCGATTTGATGGGACGGGCCCGCGGGGGAGGATCGTGAGGCCGCCGCTGCCGGAGCGCTGAGGCTCGGTCCGGCGTTGAGGCCTAGAGGCGCCGACGCCGCCGCGGAACCGGAGGGACGCCGCACCGGACAGCCGTCGGCCCGGCTTCCCCGCCGCTGCCCGGACCTTCTCCTGCACCGGGTCCCGTCTCCCACCGCCCGCCCCCGCCCCTTGAACCCACACATCGTCTTTGGATTCTTCCCCAAAAGCTTCAAGGTAACTTGGTCCCTGCAGCCCCGCGGCTCGCTCGCTTCCTTTTCCTGCGTCCCCTCCTCCCGGGGAACCTGCCCGGCACCGGCCCGGGCAGGCTAGGGGTGCGGTGGGGTGGGGTGCGGGAGAGCGAGCGCCCGTCCCACTTGTCTGATTTACCTGTAGATGCTTCCGATGCTGCCTTTCATTCACTCTGTCTGCCTCCTCCCTTTCCCACCTTGTGGGATTGGAGGCGTTTTCTTGTCCTCTCTTCCCCTCCTCCTCCTCCCATGCATGCATGGACAAGGGGGGGGGGGCAGGGGAAATTAGGGGGTTCGGGGTTGCCGAGAGAATTCTGTAGCCGCGTATCTTCTGCAAGGCTTCAGGAGCAGAGAGATTTTAGTATCAGAGTGTCCCTACGTGCAAACCCCTTCCCTGTCTCTCCCCCTCTTCCCTGCTCTGGGATTATCCTGAGCCCTGGAAATGCCTCCAGCCCGCTGTTAGAGGATAATAGAGCTCCGGGCGTCCTGGCCCAGGGTGAAACCTGTTTCCCCGGGCTTTGCGCGGACTCGCTGCTGCGGTGGTTCAGTTCTGCAATGCTCTAGGGTTGAGATCTTTGACGTTTATTCTGGGCCGCGAGCGTAACAGGCAAAAGCCACACACACACACACACACACACACACACACACACACACACACGCACACACACGCACACACAAAATCCTATCTACAGAGCGTCTTTTGAGATGGAAATTGAAGAATGAAGAGATAGAAGGAGTGATGGGGAAAGAAGATTTACCAAAATCTTGCATTGTTAGATTTACAACAAAATATAATAATTTCCAATCTAATACCAGATTGCATTGGGCCCTCAACTGACAGCCTAGAGATGTGCTTTGGAGCTGCTTGCTGGTGCAGTCGTATTTTAAAGTCATCTGATTCTGTAGTCATTCCTAATTTGCAACTTCATTTTGAATCTGTCACATATTTAGTGCTAGATTGGGACAATTAGGAGAAGAAACCTTCTTCAAAGAACAAACAAAACCAAGAACTCAAAGACTTAACATTCTGAACCGCACCATATTTTTAGGGTGCTGTTTTTAACCCAATCAGAATCCAGGTGACTGTATTCCTACGTATTTAGGGAAAACCTTCATAATTTTTATTCTGACGTTTAAAAAGCACTTGTTTCGTGTCTTGCAATGACAGGTGAGTAACTGCTTTTCAGCTCCTCCCCCTCATGCGTGGATTCTGTCCCAGTATGCCCATTAATCCCTCATGGAACCTCAGTGCCGTAGAAATGATGACATCTGTTTAAATTGGTGAAGGATATTGAGCATAATGCCTCGTAGTGTTAGGAAATAGTTGTCATTTGAGATGGCTAAAAAATGCAGAACTACCCTGTCCTGTCAGTCTGGTAGAATTAAAATTGGTGTTTGGCAGTGAACTTCAGGATCCAACCCCCAACTCAGCTTGTCCAAAGTAGGTTGTGAATATACGTTTCCAGTTTCACTTTGGTGCCTGATTTCATCACAGGTTTATTAAGGTTTAATAACTGAAGGTGACTTCATTAAAAAGCCTTCTTTGAAATGATCTTAATTATGCCTTTTATGTGTTCTGTTTAATCTAGCCTGTCCTCATTTGCAGTGTGGTGGTTTATCATAGCGAACACAGCACATTGCTCTAGAGAAGTCATGCCTCACTCCTTGGCAGTGAGAGTAAATTTCACCTTGCTGTGATCCACTGTGGTAGACTCTGAAGCCCAGAAAGAATTTCCACTCCAGAGCCCATTCATAATATTAAATATCTTGAGAAAATGTATCACTGGAAGTTTTCCAGCAGGAAGACAACTGTTAAAATGAAGAGTCTTCAGATGAGAAGAGCTTTTCAATTAGAAAATAGGCAGACAGTGCAGAGTTCAAGTCCAGAAAAGCATCTTAATGCTTACAGTAAAGCGGTACAGTGGTAGTGAGTTAGGATATTGCTTCCGTGCCAGCGACGTTGGTTTTTTTTTTTTTTTCACACCAGGTTTTTGCATTTTACTGTTGATACGAGACTTTCCTTAGTGAGTTTTATTTTCTTGAGCACTTGTTTCCATTGTTTTGGGTATTACGTATGGCTCTTCAGCAGTCTGTCACTCGGCTGGGGAGGGTGCGCTGATGTGGCTCTTTCTTTTCAGTAGGGATATGTCCTCAGCACCAACTACTCCTCCATCAGTGGATAAAGTAGACGGATTTTCTCGGAAGTCCGTCAGAAAAGCCAGGCAGAAGAGGTCGCAGAGTTCCTCCCAGTTCAGATCTCAAGGCAAGCCCATTGAGTTAACACCTCTGCCGCTGCTCAAAGGTAAGGCTGGGGCGGGGGAGACTGCGTGCAGATGACTTGTCAATATCTGTGCGTAATCACGCTTTTGTAGAGTTTCCTAATCTGTTAGAATCCTATTGCACATTGACGGGTTGGGAGGCATCAAACCCATTGAGGTTACTAGCTTATGCTGTCCTTTTTAAAGGGCTCAATTTAATCTGAGTAACTGTAGACAAGGGAAAAGAAATGTGTTATCTAGAAAAAATCTTCTCACATGAAAGGTGTCTGGGTCTGTATGTTTCATGTTTTTTTTGGCTGTTCAGGTGGGTCCACTGGGTACAGCAACAGCAGTCCTGCTCAGAAAATAGGCTTTCGTGGGGGCATGGGTGCCATTGACTTACGGAGAAAAGTGTTTGGAGACTGTGTTTTTTTTTTTTTAATAATTGGGAGAAATAATTTGTGATAGATTACATTTACTGTTGCTTTTGGGAAGTACAGATAGAAAAGATGCACGGTGATTTTACTTATTTCATACTCTTTGGAGTGCGTGAGGAAGTTTTTAGTGTGAGCCTTGGGTTTTTCTATCGATTAGACCCTCTTGTTTTTGGACATACAGAAACTTTCTGCCCCTTTCCGTTTTTATCTGTTTGCTTTCTGTCTTCTGGGGGAGAGGTGATTGGAGATGGACCCAGGCCTAGCTGGACGGTGTGGAAGCTGTCGGAAGTGTGTCTGCAGGTGGGCCTGTGCCTGCGGGATGCGGGCAGGAGACAGGAAGCTCGGACGGCACAGTGGACGCGGGAGGAAATGACAGCTTGCTGTCTTACTACTTCAGTCATGTGCATTTTTTTTTTTCTGTAACACTGTGTGAAACCAGAAGATTTTAAAAGAAAACTGGAATGTACCTGGAAGAGATCACCCCAAAAACTTAGGACATTTCAAACTGAGAGGGAGATTCATAAGTAAGATTTCATTGTTTTTCCTTGGGCTTGGTGGCAATGAAGTGCGGATAGCTGGAAAGGTGTTGGACCTAGCAGGTGGGAAGGATGAACTCTTCCAAGGTTCAGGGAAGAAAATTTTCCTGGCAACAATGAAAATAGTCTATGTGAGGCTTTGGGAGAAAAATGAAAAACATGTGAGGCTTCAACTAACCATGCTTTGAAAAATATAAACTAGGGGGAGGATTTTGAACTTTTATTAATGTGTTTAATTTTAAATTGACATAGAGTGGTTGTTATCTCTGTCTGGCAGGGCTTTATTTTGAAGATTGAACTTCCTCAGGATCAGAAGGAATTTAAACACTTTTCTTAATAATTTCTCAGGGTTTATTAGAGCAGAGTTGGCCATTTGTATTCTGGATCGAGGGGTGTGGTAGTGTGGAGGCATATGTGAGGTGATGTGTGGTATTGTGGAGGTGATGTGTGAGGTGATATGTGGTAATGTAGAGGTGTGTGTGAGATCATGTGTGGGGGTGTGTGTGAGGTGATATGTGATAGTGTAGGTGTGTGTGAGGTGATGTGTGGTAGTGTGGAGGCGTGTGTGAAGTGATGTGTGAGGTGATGTGTGAGGTGTGTGGTAGTGTGGAGGAGCATGTGAGGCGATGTGTGGTAGTGTGGAGGCATGTTGTGGAGGTGATGTGTGAGGTGATATGTGTGGTGTATGTGGCAATGTAGAGGCGTGTGAAGTGATGTGTGGTAGTGTGGAGGCGTGTGTGAAGTGATGTGTGAGGTGATGTGTGGTAGTGTAGAGGCGTGTATGAAGTGATGGTGTGAGGTGTGTGTGGTAGTGCGGAGGTGTGTGAGTGAGTGAGTGATGTGTGGTAGTGTAGAGGTGATGTGTGAGTTGTGTGTAGTGCGGAGGTGTGTGAGCGATGAGTGTGTGGTAGTGTGAGGTGTGTGAGTGATGTGTGAGTGATTGTGTGTATGAGGCGTGTGAGTGATGTGAGTGCAGCTGTGTGAGTGATGTGTGAGTGTGTGGTAGTGCGGAGGTGTGTGAGGCGATGTGAGGTGATGTGTGGTAGTGCAGAGGCGTGTGTGAGGTGATGTGTGAGGTGTGTGTGGTAGTGCGGAGGTGTGTGAGGTGATGTGAGGTGATGTGTGGTAGTGCAGAGGCGTGTATGAGGTGATGTGTGAGGTGTGTGTGGTAGAATATAGGTGTGTGTGAGGTGATGTGTGGTAGAATATAGGTGTGTGTAGTGCAGAGGTGCGTGTGAGAAGAACTTTCAAGTGTGCTTTAATGCTGGTTGTCCCTTTGCACATTGATTCTTACTTTGGTATAATAGACATGGCATAAAATTGACGATTTTTAACTGTTTTTGCAGTCCAGGGTTATTAAGTACAATCACGTAGCTTTACAGCCACATCCACCATGCATCGCCAATGCCCTTTCAGCTTCCTCTGCACCTCCGTGAGCCCCCACTCCTCCTTCTGCACCGGTGCCCAGCTGCTGGCAACCCCACCGTTCAACCTTTCGTCCTGGAGAGTTTGTCCGGTACCTCCTGAAAGTGGAGTCACGCCAGAACTTGTCCTTTTGTGACTGGCTTATTTCATTAGCACTCTGTTTTCAGTGTTCCTGTGTGTGATAGTAGGTGTCAGAATTTTGATTCTTTTTAAAGGCTGAATAATAGTTCATTACGTGTACCACACGTAGTCGTCATCTCTGGCTTTTCTGAATGTTGCTACTGTGAATACAGGTGTGCAAACTCTGAACTTTTTTTTGAGGAGGGGTGTCTATCTGAGAATTTAATTGCTGTATCTTACCAGTTTTTTGTGCAGTTGAGTTGTTTTCCACAGCATTTGTGTGCTTTTTCGCTCCATCAGTAATATGCAGATTTCAGTTTCTTCACATCAGTACTTTCTATTTTCTTTAAAAAAGGTAACTTTTAATGTGCATGAGGTGATATTTCATGGTTATTTTGATTTGCGTTTGCGTAATGGCCAGTAAAGTCCAGCACATTTTCCTGTGCCTTACTAGCCATTAGTATTTTTTCTTCTCATTTTTTAATAAGTCTAGTGCTATTTAAAATTTTCAGGATTTTATGTCCAAGAATATTATTATTATTTTTCTTTGAACTTGTAGACTTTGTGAGTGTGGGAGAGCAGCACAGCTCAGGAGGGCTTGGGGTACCTCATACACTTTAATGACTAAGATTCTTGTATAGTAGACATATTCTGGGTAAATATTTTGGAAAGCATTCGGTTGGGTTAGAATCTCATGTTTGTTACTTGAAAGCGTGGAGAATAACCAGCCACAGGTTTCAGAAATAGGTGTTAGTTCCTGATTTTTGTGGCAAATACAGTTTAAGTGGTACTGGTTTTCTTCATCATGAGTCAACTTTTGTTTGTATTTTGCCTTCTCACAAAGTTTCGGAAGTCATTCACGAATATAAGGAAAATACAGGAAGAATTTCTTTCCTAGGGGTTTTCTTTTTGCATTGTCTTGGTTTCTCTTAACTAAATGGCATGCCAAAGGTTATTGATTGAATTTTTTTCTAGTATTTCTTTGACTAAATTACCAAGTTTGAGTTTATTTTATTTGAGACATTATAAAGTGGCGTAGAATTTTGTGAGTAGTTTAAAAGAATAAAGTGAAAGAACTTGTTCCAAAGGACCTGATTTGAGGGGAATTTGAATATGGAAATTTCATGGGAATCAGAATTAAGTAGCTCATCTTTTTAATGCAATTTTGAAAGCTCAAGAGCTTATGTGATTCATGAATCACTTGTTTTATGTGTGCCAATTATCAGAATATTTATTAAAGGCGTTGTGGTGTTTGATTGGCAGGCTTTTGAATGCTATGTCAGTCTTTGCATTTGGACAGTCCGTTCATTTGCAGAGCTGTAGCATTAAGGAAAATTTCTGTTTTGTCCTTTTTCTAATAGGTGGCATTTTGAAATTTCTGTCATTAGTGTTATTTCTGTCAGAAATGACACCAGGTGTAGGATGTATGTATTCTGCTTATATATGTATGCAGAAGGTGAATGGCCTGACTTTTCCTCAGGTAGATTTCTTAAAATTACATGGTTGAACTTTGCAGATAAAGACTTCTGAGTTTTATTCCATCTTCATAAAAAACACTTATTTTAAGATTTATTTATTTTTATTGGAAAGGCAGATATACAGAGAGGAGGAGAGACAGAGAGAAAGATCTTCTGTCTGATGATTCACTTCCCAAGTGACCGCAACGGCAGGTGCTGTGCTGATCCAGAGCAAGGAGCCTAGAACCTCCTCCAGGTCTCCCACATGGGTGCAGAGTCCCAAAGCTTTGGGCCGTCCTCGACTGCTTTCCCAGGCCACAAGCAGGGAGCTGGATGGGAAGAGGAGTCACCGGGATTAGAACTGGCGCCCATATGGGATCCTGGTGCATTCAGGGCGAGCACTTTGGCCACTAGGCTACCACACCTGCCAGGCCCCATTCATACACTTCTGAAAGGGTTTTTGGAGAATCCTGAAGTTTTTGAACTTGGCTCTTATCAAGAAAACCTCAGTAGAAGGTTTAGTGTCCCATTGTGAGAATATGTCTCTTCGCTTTTATTCCAGGTTTTTGCCCCTGCGTCAATTTTCAAAGCAACTGTGTGCAGTAATGGGAGCAGGATGTATTTAGAGAGTGAGCACACACTTAGGCATGAGTGCAGGCAGCCCGGCCAAGGGAGACATTCCTCCTAAGAGGGCCAGAGAAAGAGTCGTGCCCTCTTGCACTCTTAGTTTAGGAGTTCTCTTTATTGGGGGGAATGCTGCGTTGATTGGGTGTACCAACAGCGTGGAGTTTGGATGGATGGAGTTCAGTGTGTGTGTTGCGCTGTGGGAAAGTTTTCATATGATCCCCACAAGGAGCCCAGTGTAAGTGAATTTGCTCATGGTGGCCTTTTCTTTGTCCTGCAGAAGGCTCAGGTGTATCATGGGAAAGTGAGTGCACTGCATTGGCATGTGAATGAGCAGCGAGAAACTGCAGGAAATCGTCCAGCTCATTTATTTCCTGTCTGACTCTCTGCGCTTCCTGTATCATTATGTGCTTGAGAAGAAAACATTTGGATGCTTTCCCTGTAC